ATCTCTGTGTTTTGTAACATCAGAACATTAGAGGGGCACCTGGCTGGCTCAGTCATGGAGCGAGTGACTCTTGACCTTGGGCTTGTGAGTTCAAGCCCCATGTTGGGTGTAGAGATTACTTAAAACAATAAAAGCTTAAAAAAAAAAATTAGAAACCACCTAAACAGCTGTCAATACAGGATTAGTTAAATAAATTATGGACTTGCGTCAGTGAAATCGTTCATAGCCATTAAGAAAAGAATAAGGTATGGGGCGCCTGGGTGGCTTAGTCGGTTAAGCGTCCGACTTTCGCTTAGGTCATGATCTCGCGGTTCGTGGGTTCGAGCCCCGCGTCGGCCTCTGTGCTGACTGCCAGCTCGGAGCCTGAAGCCTATTTCAGCCTATTTCAGAGTCTGTGACTCCCTCTCTCTCTGACCCTACCCTGCTCACGCTGTCTCTCTCTCTCTCCTAGAAATAAATAAAACATTAAAAATTTAAAAAAAAATAAATAAACTGTTTAAAAAAAAAAAAGAAAAGAATAAGGTAGTTATATGTGTCAAGCTGTCTAACTCCTGTTAAATGGGAAAAAAATAGAAGTTGAAAACAGTATGTAGAGTACAATTCTGTTTTTATAATAATAAATAGTAATATGTAATTACACAGAACAAAATCTGAAACAATATACATCATTCCATGAGACTGGCTATCTCCAGTGAGGAGTCATGGGGTCTTTTAAATTTCTAGGTTTTCTACATGTATTTTCTGTATTTGTATTAGTTGGAAAATTTTCAGTGATTATATACTTAAAAAAAATATTTCCTCTGAAGTTAAGAATCCGTCGTCCCCAGAGTGGGAGCCAGACCTGAAGCAGGACCCTTGGCATGAATGACTCCAATCCTAATGGCTCCTCCAAAGCCCCTCATTATTAGCACAGTGGGACCCCACTTATAATCGTGCCCCTCTCCATTCAGGGTCATTTTTCTCTGCCTTGCCTTGCCGGCCCATCCCATCCCATCCCCCTGACGTTTCCTCCGAGCCCAGAGAGAGCCCTCCACTGGAGGTGACCCCATGGGCTGTGTCTGACAGGTACCAAGGGAAACCTCTGCCAACGAAAGATGCCACTTGGTATTAGTGTGGCCTTGACCTTCCCATCTGCCATGATGGCCTCATATTACCTGCTGCTGCAGACCTACGTGCTCCGCCTGGAAGCCATCATGAACAGCATCTTGCTCTTCTTCTGTGGCTCCGAGCTGCTGCTCGAGGTGCTCACGCTGACTGCTTTCTCCAGGTACTGCTGCTGAAGGACCACGTCCTGTCCCCTGAGGGCGGGGTTCCCATCTTGTCCTAGGGAGGGGTTCACTGTTCTTCTGAAGCCTGAGGGATCTCTGAAGGATTGTTAAGGGGGCAGAGGGTGTCTCCGGGATTGCTTTTCCTATTTAGGGTTGAAAGTTACTCAGGGAAGACATTCTGCTCATTCTTCGGGGCCAGGAGGATTGGAATACAGAATAGCTCAGGCCAGTAGCTCTCGTTCTCTGGTCTTTTAACATTTTCTTTCTTTCTTTCCTTCTTTCGGCCATCAGTCTGGACAGGATTTGAACTACAAAAATTTCAGCCCGCGCCCCTCACGGCCTGAGGCCACAGATACTTCTGGTCTTTAGCCTCACCAGGGAGAATTGGGTCATGGTGTCCCGGGAAGGGTTGCAGCTTTTCCTCAACAGACATTTTGGGCAACAAACTGAGCATGAGGCCAGTGGGCGTCATCTTCTAACCCCGGACCATCAGCCCGAGACTGTTCTGCACTCCAGTGTAGGGAGGGGCAAGGCTGGCCAGGGCTGGCCCTTCTCAGAGCCAGTTCCCCGCTGCCCTCGAGTTCTCTGTGATCCTCGTGGCCAGAGCCGCGCGTGTGGACCACGTAGGCTCCTTGGGCTTCCAGCAGGACCGGAGCCCCGCACTCTCCGTGAGTGCCGTGTCCCCCGTCGCCCCAGCACAGAGAGCCTCAGGGTGTCTGAGCCCAGAGTGACGCTAAAGCCTCTCACCTCGTTCCTCAGAGACTGAGCTCCAGAACTTTTGTAGTAGCTCACGGTGTTATTTTTCTACTCTCATCATGAAACAAACATTGTTTTCTAATAAATGTGTATTTTCTGTCATGGGGATTGCAGCCTTTTCCTTGTGGCACCTGTCCCTAGAATTTCATCCACTTCCAGGGAAGGGAGGGATGGTCCCAGCTGTTTGTTCTCAAGGCTGTGCTTAGCGGTCCCGCGTGGATGCAAGGGCTGCGATGATTTTCTTCCGCCAGCTGTGGCCTCGATTAATCCCTGAAGCCAGTGACTTCTGTATCTTCTTCAGGCCCGTCATCTCGTCAAAGACTGCTTATACTCTTCACCTCTGCCCCTCAGGCCCCCATCCTGGCATCTTCCCTCCCCTTCCTCTTACAGACAGCTGTCAGCTTCCTTCCAGAGGGAGGTGCAAAGAATTGGAAGAAGCATATTCAAAACTTCCCAGCGTTTTTGTCATTTGTTTTAAAATTTCAAGTTAATGTGAAAGGAAACCTATATATATATATATATATATATATATATTTTTTTTTTAAGCTGGAGAAAGACTGCCCTTGATGAGTCTACCATTCCCTTCTCCAAGCAGCCATCTTTACAACTGTTTCTCATCTTACTTGTTAGTGGCCTTTTTTTTTTTTTGAAGCCCCAGGACACAGGACAGAATTCACTTGAGAAAACCTTGAGCCACATGGCGCTTCGCTGTCAGATGAATCTTACAATATCTACTCTTGCTCACAGTAAAAAGTTAATTGGTCTCTGAGCATTTTCATGCTGGTTTTTAATTCTGCTTTTTCCCTGAAATTGAGCTCATTTTCATCCTGTGAAGGTCACTGCCGTCCAAAGCACTGATGCTTCTCGTTTCCTACCTCTTCTGTGTCCTTGTCTCCTAGCTGCCTTTGGGGCCTATCCAAAAACTATAGCAGACAGGTGTAATCAACCATGAAACAGTAACAAAAAATCCAGTGGGGACCTCCCTGATACTTGTCACCAACCCCACGAACCCCCTGACTTGGTGCTGCTCACACTGCTGCTTTCTCTAGCTGCGCTTTGAAGAAGTTGCTGGCATCAAACTGAACAAGAACTTGTTCTCCACGGCCTCCCCATTTCTTTGAGAGGTTCAGTGGTTAAGGTCACTCTCCTGGCAACACAGATAAAGGAATGAAGGGCCCGTTGAAGTTTCAAGTTGGCTCGTAATTAAAAGGGACCTTGGAAATGAATCCAGTCCCCCACCTTGCAGGCTTAGCGACAAGGAACAGCCAGGCATCACACAACTGGTTACTAGCAGTTGGCTCTAGAAACCTTGCTTTAGCAGTCTCTGTTTAGATCCAGCAAACTCCATTTCAACAGGTACCACCTGAGGACGAGAATGAGTGGTTGAACATGGGGACAGGCTACAAGAGGAAGTCCTCTCCTTTATTTCATGGTTCCCTGGGGGCTTAGTGCCTCATACTTCCCGTGGATGGCTCCGCCGATGCACCTCCTTCCTGGTGCCTGTCAGAGCCACTGGTGTGGGTCCAGTCCCACTAGAGTAGAACACCATTCAACAGAAACCGAGGCAGCAGAGGCCAGGAATGGGTATAGCCAGTCTTAACGGGTCAGTGTGGTGCAGCAGAGAGGACCTGAGTGAAGGAGCAGGCACTGGTCACAGGGGCTGGTAGAGACCTGCTCAGATGGTCACACTCATGGCTAGAATTTGTCCAGTGACCGCAGTGGCCATCTCGGCAGCCTCTGTAGAGGCTGAGGTCTGGCCCAGTTCAGGAAGCACTTCGGATGCACATCCAGGTGTCTGGCTCTAACCCTGACAGCAGTGTGTGGGAGCCTGCTCTCTGTCCAGGGCCTGGCAGAGTGTACTGTAATCCATGCTGCGATCCTAGGAGGCAGAAAATCCACTTGAATGTGAAGTCAGTTCGGGTCGCTGCGCATTTAGCTTAAAGAGTTGGGATTTGAACCTAGAGTAACCCAAAGTCATCCCTTTCTGTACCCTCACAGTAGCTCTTCGGTGAAAAATTTTACTTTTCTAAGCCATCAGCCCACACACTTTACATAAAAGTCATCTGGGACAGAAAAAGTAGCTTTCTAGATTTCATGAAGTGGGTACAGCCCAAGAACAGGCACAGCATGCACCTGAGATGCGGGGGGGGGGGGGGGGGGGGGGGGGGGGGGGGGGGGGGGGGGGGGGGGGGGGGGGGGGGGGGGGGGGGGCCAGAACTCACCTGCAGTAATCACTCCTCTGTCCCTCACGCCGCTTCTGGTCACAGAGCTTCTGGGGCGCTCCCTCCCCCTGCCAAGCGTTTTGTCCTTAAGGCCCCCTCGCCTGTGCCTGTCCCAGTACTCATTCTCTGTCACCGGGTATCTGGTTCATCTTTTTATACACGGAACTCTCCTCTTGCTCACCTGGCTTTTTAACTAGCTGGCTCACTCACAACACTTTGCTGAACTTTCCAAATGTGTGCTTCCCGATGTTGAGACAGCAGTTCAGTTTCCAAAACACGGTCACATTTGTTATCTCTGAGTCTCACGACACCGCCGTGCGGAAGGCAGGACAGCCATTCTCAGCTCACAGACAAGGCAGGCTCTGCTGCTGCCGACAGCCAGGTAAACAGACAGGGCGCAGGGACTGGCAGGCAGCAGCACGCTTCCCAACTCCGGGCTGAGGGGTCCTCCCTTCCTGAGCCTGAGAATGTCAGAACATTCTCCTTGCTCCGAGAATGAACCGTAGGAATCTTGAAGGGTACGGGACTTGGAATGTTTCTTTCCCGAGTTTAGATGGCTAAGGGAGAAAGCGGAGCCTCAAGGGGCACTTGCAGAGATTTGCACTCAAGGCCTCCTAGGTGCGCCACGGCACCCGCGGGCCCACCAGGCAACTCCAGCCGAGGGCTCAGGGCCCCTCTACCGCCCCAGACTCTCCGTCAGCCCAGCCCACGCCCCAGACACCTCAACAAATCTATTCAATGCAGAATCCATAAAACAGCTCACACCCCATTTATTATTTAAAAATACTTTGTTACAAAAGGAAAAAAATACAATGCAGTATAAAAGATTGACAGCGTCATCAAGTTTATTACACAATTTTCAACCTATCAGAAAGACAAACAAATCACCGACAACAGGGGGACGGGGCCTTGGCCTTTTTGAGGGCTGGGTTTTTTTTTGTTTTCCTTTTGCTATCAGGAAATAAAACTAAAATTTGTGTCATTGAGTAAAAACAAAACAAAAATGGGGAGAAAAAAATTCTCCGGGTAAACGGCTTTTCTGGTACTCTATATATTTTCTTCCTTAAACTGTCACCTTACTTGGTTTTCTCTACATTTTAAAAAGACACCCGGAGCTGCTCTTGAGGATAAGCACATCACTTAACACTTGGCCAGCTGGGCGGGGGGCCGTGTTCCGAAGTGGAGGTGGGGACGGGGTTGGGGGACAAGGGGGAAAGAAGCTACACCCTGTAGCCTCTGTCCCAAGGGAATGTGCCTCTCCAACCCTGGGGGGGCCCCTCACTGACTGACTGAGGGCTATGTCAGAAACGTGCAGGGAACAGAGGAAGGGTTCAGTCCCACTCAGTCTCTCCCCTCTGAGCCGGAAGGGTCTCCAGTGACCCTACATCTCCCACGCCACGTCTCGTCTCCTGCTAGATGTCAGGTGCCCTTTAACGCGTGCAGAAGCCACATCCATCGCCCCATGGGCACCGCAGGACCCCGCTGCCGCCTTTGCCTTCAGCAGGAAGCACATCACAACTTAGATGTTAATGGGAAAAGCAATTCCATTTGCCTGTGTAGACAATGGCCCCCAGAGTGGTGCTCCTTAGAACTCTGAGCTGAACTCATTCAAGTCAGGCTCCACTTCTTCCTTGCTCCCCATCAGAGGCAGGAAGTACCTCCACGTAGAGCGATGGGAGCTATGAAGAGTCAAAAGGTGGAAAGACACCGCATTTGTGACTTTACCTGCCTACTAGTGCCAGGTTATCCCACAATAAGAAAAGGTATGTACCTGGAGGATGTAAGCCCATGCTCACATTGAACCTGAAAAAAGAAAAGCCTAGGGCAGTAGGCTATCTCCCACCCAGCCTGCCTCCTCTCCCGCTCCTCCTGGTACTTCCCAAGGGTTCTTCAGTGCTGAGGTCCGATGTCCCCATCTCCCAGTGGCAGTATCTTCCTCTAAAACAAGGAAGCAGCCTTCTTGGGGGAGGGGCTCCACGTGTGAAATGGAAAAGCCCCAGGAAAGGGAACACCTAGAACAGCTGGTTATTGCAAGAGGCAACCGAGCACGAAGCTGCAGCGGGTGGTAGGTGGTGCTGCCAGGCTCCCCGGCAGAAAGCAACCTCAGGGGCCTTCTCAGCTTCGGAGGGGCGAGTCCGCTGCGGCGGCTGTGCAGCAGGGAGCCGGAAAGGTTCAGCCCTCTGGGAGGTCAGGGAAACCAACCGCCAATAGGTAAGAGGGAAAAGCAAGAACGGGGGAAGCTTTTCAGAATGGAATTTCTGTTCTCAGGGTCCCTCTCAAAGGGCTGGGAAGGTAAAGGAGTTAAACAAAGAAGTGGTATGTTAGCAGGGGGTTTGGACCCTCTCGGCCCCATCACACCTAGTGCGGAGGGCAGGGCCCTGGGCATATTTTGGCGCACCCAGTCACTCTCCTGGATCCTGCATGGAGGATCCGTTTTCTCTGGGAAGAAAGTCTTCCCATCAGCCTCACCACTGAACTACTCCTGGAGAATCAGAAACTCATTCGTTTCCTTGGACAAAGCACCGTTCTCTACGGAGACCAGGGGCCTGGACACGCTTTCTTCCTGTCTGCCACCCCTCCCAACCACACGAAGTCTTAGGTTCGTCCCCTGACAAACAGGAGGCGTGGGGCTGGGAGGGCTGCCAGGCAACCGTCAATCCTGTCGGGCAGAGGGCACTCCCTGGGTGTCGGAAGGGGGGGTCGGGGCTTGGAGGGAAGGGGAAGGGTGGAGTGGCCTCCGTCCTTTAGTCCTGATCAAGGTGAGGAGATGCAAGTCCATTAAAAAAACATTTGCTTCCAACCAGACTCCTGCAATGAGAACATCAGAAGAAAAGAAAGAAAACACAAGTTAGAGGTTACTTTCTGAATGATGGGCAGCTATGAATGACACTGGCATTTTTCTCAAGCTAGCACATACGAAGTAGTGCGTCTATGCAGACAGAGTACAAGCCGGGGAGAGTGAAAGCAAGCAGGCAGGACTGGGGGCACCCGGCACTGTGCGCAGTGGGGGACAGGCTGCGGGAGCTACGGTGAGTACGAAGAAAAAGCAGGCGCATCTCACTTTGAGGTTAGGGGGAAACAGACAATGAAAAGAGCTCTCACGGTCTGATTGAAAGGAGGCTTTGGCTGGAGTATGGTAACTACATTTCAAGAAAAGTTGCTCTAAGAGAACATGGGGAGTTTAAATACTGTTTCAGGAACTCTATTTTAAGCAAGTCCTAGCTTACCTTAGGGGAGGGGAAAACACCTGGAAACGGGAGGCACGACGGTTAAGAAAACAAACGGGTACACGACCAAAACCACCGACCCCAAACACCCAGGAGGCCCTGCCGAGGAGCACACACTTACACAGGAGACGCCTATACTTTTCTTTTAAAGAAGCCCTTTTCAAAACAGATTCCAAACAGTGTCCTTACGAGTACGTGTGTGGGCACACGCGCGCCAAGAGCCAGGGATGTTCTAAGCTGTACTAAAAAGGATTTTAAGTCTTTACCCAGATGACAGCTCTGAGTGAGGGACCAAGAAGCACCCTAATGCCAAGCAAGAGTGACCTGGCCCAGCCCGGACAGAAAGCAAGGACTGGAAGTAAGAGCCGGTAGTCACCACCACGAAACCCAACAGCACAAGTAAGAACTTCTGGCCAACAGTGAGGCTCTGCTAAGCCCCTTGCCACATCGCTACCAGACATAAGGTCCCTACTATTTTCAACTCTGGTTCCAATGTTGCAGTCCCAGTAAGCGGGGGGTGGCGGCATCAATCTGACCATATAAGATAGAATTGGTAACAGGAAAAAGGGAAATTACATTCAGGCATAGGATTTCTACTAATGGCCAAACTAGCAACACAGCCTCCACACACATGCCGCTCTCTATGGACGGACTTCTGTAGCCTGGAGGAGCCATCCGAGAAAAACACACACCCACCAGCTACCTGATCCTTCTAACTCGGAAATGGCACCATTTCAGCTCTGGATCTTCAGAATCTGTTACAGAAGCCTCTGCCTTCCAGCTTCTCTAAATACCTTTGTTGCCAGGTGCTTGTCTCATTTTCTATATGGGGAAACGGAAGCCCTCAGTGCCTTCTCCATTTCTCTCTATTTGGGTTTCTGAATCTCTGCATTGGATCAAAATTGAACAGAATGTTTAGTTTTCACTGGACCAGGAGGATGGGAATGAGGTGAGAATGACCATCTTAACTAGGATAATATCCCCAAATAATGAGCCAGCAGCCAAGAGCTACAGAAGTTGAAGCCAAAGCCATAGATTACCTAGAATATCCTCAAATTCCAAAGCATAAACCTGTATACACCCAGAGAGATGTAATTTGGAAACTGTCCCTACAAAACACAACACAAAGGATAACTAGTACGTCAGGAGACCTAAACTGTCGCACCCAATTCTTCATGGTCATGGTTACATTTGCTGGTAATGTTTGGATGCAGGCAGAAGCCAACGTGGGCCCATCCTGAGGAAGGGTGGAGAAAAGAGGCCGCTGTTGTATTACTGCCTCCAGACAGAACACACCGTCTGCTCTCAGGGAGCACCTGCCTACACAATATAAACACTATTCTTTTCTAACTAAAAGGGGTTGTACACAGAACTTGCAAGGTTCTCCACATAAATGGGCCCATGTACATCTCCCCAGCATGAGGTCTCCTAGGTCACAACTTGGTGACTGCAGACAGAATGAAGAGTCCTTAGGATGAGGATGTGAGAAATCGACATTTTTGGGGTGTCTCAATCAGTTCTTTGGACTAGTTATCCGGATGGAATAACTAACATATCTAAAGGGTAAAAAAATGGGGAACTAGACAACTCATCTCGGAGTTCCTTTTCCTCATCCTGTCATAGGCCTGCACCAGCCATGACTGTTTTCTGGGTATCGGGTTACAGGATTCTTCAGTTCTCCACGATGAATCTCCCTCACAATGGAAGAAACGGTCCTATTTTACAGGTGGAGGAAATAACAAAATGACAGCCAACGTCTCAGGTTCAGATGTTCAATCCTCAAAGTACTAACTGTCAGTGGATCTCACAAGTTCTCTATCAAATGGCTATGAAAAGCAAAGCCACCAGGAATGGTGACATGCAGTGACATGTTCTAACTGCTAAACTGAATGCAGCCCGAGACTACAATCCGTGCTCTGCACTGACAAGTACCTCCCTGGTCACTCTTCTCCTGTCTCCACTCCGAGGACCTACGCTGTGAGCAGCAGGACTGGGGAAGGGGGGACACTGGACCCACAGCAACCCTAGCAACTGTGCTAGCTCCACAACAGGGGAAGGGAGACGCTGCAGCTGCCACAGAAGGGATAAGACAGGGACAAAGGCCTACCCAAATGCCTACTCTCCTGCTCACCCCGAGACCAAATCAGCCAAGAGCTATCAATGAGCTCCACCTCCCCTGGAGTCTGCTTTTCTAGAAGATATAGGGGCACCTCCCCAAACTCAACCTGTTGCAAAATCCAGAAAGAAGTATCTGGAACCCACAGGCTAACTATTGATTTTATGTGGACTATCTTAGATTTCAGTGATCTTAAGCACTCTAAAATTTTGTGGAATAAATGAGTGGTTTAAAAACAGAGAAGGAGAGGCGCCTGGGTGGCTCAGTCGCTTAAGTGTCTGGCTTCTGCTCAGGTCCTGATATCCTGATATCACTGTTCATGAGCTCAAGCCTCGCATCGGGCTGTCTGCTGTCAGTGCAGAGCCCACTTCAGATCCTGTTGCCCTCTCTCCCCTCAAAAATAAAACTAAAAAAGAAAGAAAGCTGTTAAAAAGTTTGTTAACTTTTCATTTTCCCACTTATTTGACTCCTACAAAAGAAGACTGAAAAGAATTTCCGGCTACAATTGTTTAAATTAATGGCAGAGAATGAATGCCAAACAGCAAAGTAGAGGCAGCAACCAAACGGAACTCCTTTCTTCTCAGTGGGTCGTCAGGAGGTCAAGCACCACAGTTTCTGACTGTCTACAGTCCCGCCGCTGCCTGTGAAGTGTAGGCCCTCTCAGGTAGCGGGGGGGCCTTCTTTCCCCTTCTTCATCCAGTCCTCCAGCCAGCCACCCGGAGACCACTACAGAGAACCTCTACAGAGAGCCACTCTGAATCCTCACCCTCCCTCTTCAGTTACCATTACATCAGACCAACCAAACTGGCCAAAAAACACCAGGATACCTTCAGAACACATTTGATGTGAAACCACAATGCTGAGGACCCCCCGCCCCCATCATCTGGGTCACTCAGTAGCCTCCAGGAACCACAAACAGACCACCATCCCAGCCAGAGTCTAGACTACTAAAGGCCTCCACAGAAATAGAATGAACCACCACTCCTGCTTACAGACTAGAAACAATCTTTGCTGGAAGTTTCTTTCAGTTGGGACTGCTAAGCTGGTGGATGTAACTGGGAACTGTGGGGCTGTTGTCGCCCCCGCCCCCGAGGTCTGAGAATGAAGACAGAGAAAAAGCAGCATTGAGTGATGCGGAGGGATTAAGTCCTGAGGCCAAAGCCGAGCCCCTGGACCCAGCCTGCCCTAACTCAGCTTCTCCGTTACCTGGGTTACAAAGTTCCCCCCACAACTCTTCTGCTTTTGCTTTGCTTAAAAAAAAAAAAAAAAAAGATATGACTGTCAATGTTTCTCCCCCAAAACAAATGTATCCTTCCATTGAAGTATCCTCCACACAGTCTCTACATTATTAAATATGATTTTTTTAGACCAGCTTTCTCCTGACTAAAGTATCCTGAGTTTCACAATCTTTTTAATAGATGTTAATTCTTAAAATCATTAACGCCGTGCATTCTGAAAACTAAGAAGGCAATGATCTTACTTTTGGTCTCGGTCAGTTCTCCTGATGTGTTACTTGCGAGTCGGGCGGGGGCGGGGGCCAGATGGGGCTACGGTCTACTGAACACCTGGCACGGAACAGGTACTACGCGTGCGAAGTGCTCTACACGGCCTGTCTCACTGAAGTCAGCAATTCGGCGAGACGGCTATTTTTGCTATCTTCGTTTACAAATAAGGAAACTGAAGAACAGAATACCAAGGCCCACAGGGGAGCCCGGGTGGCTCAAGTGGTTAAGTGTCCTGTTAAATGTCTTGGTTTCAGCTCAGGGCAGATCAAGCCCCCTGCTGGGCTCTCCACCAAGTGCACAGCCTGCTCGGGATTCTCTCTCTCACCTCCCCCCCGCCAAAATAAATAAACTTAAAAACACCACCAACACCAACACCAAAGCAATACGGCCTGCAGACACTGTGCTCTTAGCCCAGACACCACGTGGTCCCTCTGGTGCCAGCCTAAGGCAGACAAGACCCAAACGAAACCAGCACAATCTCGGGTCCGTTTCGGGGTGAGTCTTCTCCAAATGAGCCTGAAACCTGCCCTCCTCAACTTCTGGTCGCCCAAGTCAAAAGTCCTCCCTTCCCCTTTATTTGCTTTAAAGAGAGAGCGCAGAATCTTCGCCATCAGCATTTTCCCTTCCACACAAGGCGCCCTGCAGCCGGGACCGGGGCCTCGTCCCACCTTTCTCAGTGGTGCCGGTCCCGCTCTCGATCCCGGTGCCGCTCGTGCTCCCGGTTCCTCTCCTGGAAATAATCATCATGTCGATCTTCGTTATGAAGCAGGTCCCGATGCCTCCGGCTGCTCTCCCGGGACCGGCTGGGTGACCTCTCTCGGGACCGATGTCTTTTCCTATTAGAAAGATCCTTCAGCCTCGCTCAGAGGACCTACCACATGCCTTCCAAGAGTGTTGTGTTTCGGTGTCTTCCAGTATTTGTCTGAACCACTTTTCTAGCATGGGCCCAGTGTCTGAGGATTTAGCTCTTTGAGGATTCGTCTTTTGTAGGGAAACAGGAACAGTCAAATTTGTTGAGATCTTACGAATGTATCAGGCACAGCGCTAAGAGCTTTACGTGCTTCTCTCACCTCCTCTTTACAACGGGTCTGTACAAGAATCACTACTGTCCCTTTTTTAAAAATTAGAAAGATGAGGTTTGGAAAGTCAAGTGACTCCACACTCAAAGTCACACAGGTACTCAGGAGCAGAGCTGGGATTCAAGCCCAAGCATGCATGGCTTCAAAGCCCATGTTCTTACCTACGCCAGTCTTTCATCCTAAATAGCCCACTGCCTCACCCAACACAGATTCCAGATATTACGTCATCTGTCGATGCAGATGTTTGACTAACTCCTTCCCCGTAAGGACATTAGGGCCAGGTCTGCTCTCTCAGCCACGGCCTTGCCAGACCCCCTGGGCTCCTCTCCTCCCCCTGCCGATCCCTGGAAGAGTGCTGCTCAGGGCTGGGAGGCCGCGGAAGCAACCAACAACTCACCTGGATGAGCTCCCGCTGGCACCCACACTGTAGGACTTGGCTTCAATGCCATGAAGACAGTCCTTAAGAGAGGAGATGAGGACACGGCAACGCTCATCATTGGCGACCCGGGACTGTTTGATAACAGCAATGGCTGTGAGCAGCGTCTCAATCGCGTCACTGTAATCCCCTGACAGGGGACGGATGGGAAAGGCCAAGGATGAGCAGAGGCAGTAGACTATCGGGACCAAAGGAGAACTCAGGACACAAACCAAGAGTAACCAGCTGTCCCACGGAACCAGGGGAAAGTGGACGGGGCAGAAGTGGCAGGCATAAAACTGGATGGCACTGTTCCAATGGTCTGGAACAGACGGACATTCTCAGATGTTGCTAGTGGACGGACAAACCGGTGCGTGGTTGTCTGAGGGCAACCGGACGATACCCATTAAAATAAACAACGTGCATACTTTTTGATCTAGCAATTCTAAAAATGTTCTACTTCTATTCACAAGTATGTATACTCAACAACAATATACGTTTCAGCATTATTTTGTCAAAGAACTAGACACAACTTCAGTAGGGTCTGGCTATGTTTATAGGACACTGGCTAAATGGAATACTACACAGTTGTTAAAAAGCACGAGATAAATCTAGATAAACAAAATAATCTACATAAAGCGCTTAGCACAGTGCCAGGCACACAGTAAGGGCTCAATAAATGTTAGGTATTATTACATACTGGTAGATGTCTAAAATATATTAATTTTTAAGAAGTTGCAAAACAGTATTCCGTTTTTGTAAAAATAAAAATTACATGTACGTTGTCCTACACACACACAAAACAATCTGAAGGACAATGAACTGAAGAAGATGGTTTTGGTGGCAGTCCTTGTATAGAGAGCTTTCATTTATTAACAGTGCACGTTTCTAAGTCTCAATTATTTTAAATCTATAATCAGATGTGTGTACGCATACACGTAACATGTATCTAACGCTTCTATACACAGAGTGTGTGTGTGTGTGCGTGTGTGCGTGTGTGTGTGTGTGTGTGTGTATTTTTAGCTTATGTTGCCATCAAGAACTCGCCCCTTCATTCCCCAAATGGGAGCAATGCCTGGCTCAGGGATAGTGGCCACGGGCTGGGTGCTTGCACAATGCTTTTCCAAGCTCAGTCAAGTGCCTTACAGACAAAAGGTAATGCAAGGAAAGCATGAAACCAGACAGGGGTCCAGTGAGGAGGACTGGGGGCTTCCTCTGTGCAAGGCAGTAAGAACAGAACAGAAGCTGAGGAGGAACTGTGATTCTGTAGAGGTCCAGGCACACCAGGCTGTCAGCTCTACCGGGGTGGGGAATTTTTGCTTATTTTGTAGGCATTCAATAAGTATTTGTGGTTTGAATGACTGGAATGAGAACAACAAAAAGGGAGGGAGATAGAAATTCAGTTATTGATCATCTCAAAGTGAAAGAGTTGGTAAGGAAGAACAATGATTATTTCCCTTAGGCTCCTCTGTATATCTGACCTGCTACAATGAGCACCGATTACTTCCTAATTAAAAATCATTCAGATGTCCATGAATGTTTTCTCGAGGAAAAAAAAGGAAATATATGTATTTCCTGTCTTTAACCTACTCAGTGGATTCAAATTCTGCAGCCACAGATGAGAAGTTACGGAAAACAGATGACAATATTTACTGTCAACTTATTTCTTAGGAGGCCTGACAGCCTACATTACGTCAATGAGGGAAGCTCACAAGAAGGAAGTCAATATGACTAATAGCGTAACGTGAATCCCAGACCAGGAGCCTATGAAGAACCAGATTCCATGCCCGGGGCCCTCAGAGACACAGCTTCTGGTTCTGCCCAGACTGTTGACAGAGGGCCACGTCAGCCATTACAGCAAACTATGTCTTACGATGACACCCGGCAGACCTGCTCCTTTCTAGGATAGGTACGTGCAGGCCACCAGTTCTGCCCAGACCCCCAGATATAATGAGATTCCGTATCAAACCCACCCAGTTGGGGCATCAGTCCTAAAACCCCGGGGTCTACACTCGGCATTACACAGACACTAGGTCCCCGATCAACCACTGAGATCTCCACGAAGACAGGAATTTCATTCTATAACAAATACTGTGATGAGATATCATCAGTTATTTATAATCCGGGCATGAAGTTGGTTTCTGTGGGGCAGGTTTAGATACAGGCTCGATAATAAGACCCGCGGAACGTCCGCAAAGCCACAAAATCAGGTTATGCGCTGCTCCTCACAGGGCGCTGCTCCTGAGACTAACAGTGCTCCAACTTCATGTTATCGAACCTCCTGCCAACGGAAATGACAAAACACGGGGAAACCAAAGGGAAGGAGAAGACAGCAAAGGTATGGCTGGGTTACCTGCACTGGCTCCAGACACCGCTTTGGAAATGGCACTGCTGGAAATCGCTCTATTTCGCTTCATGATCTCTTCGAACTCTGCTTCACTCACTGTGGAGGGCGGAGGGCCCGGGTCTCGGCTGCACAGAAACAACATTTCTGACTGCCTGCACCGCTTATCAGCTTCACCATACTCTTCAGAACAGTGGCGCTTCATCGTGCTCTCCTACAGAAGGTCTTAAATGGTTCTCAGCCTGTTCATGTTTTCTGTGTTCACATTCTCTTCAAGGACAGGACTGACATCCTATTCTTTTGTCATTCTGGCATGACCCAATAGAGCTAGGCATTCACAGCGTCCCTAACGGCCACCTACGGCACTCAATTTAATCAAGCTCCTTAAAAAGGGACGTGAAAGGCACCATTTGGGTCAAGAGACTAAGATGCAAACAAAACACCAAATAAAAAACGTTACCTAACAGACGGTTAACTATTTCCCAGGACTCGACACTGTGACAACAGAGTTTCCACAAGGGAAAATAAGAATTCACGCTCACTTACTCCCTTAGGGAGAACAAAATGCTTAACATATGGTCTACCATACTATAGCTGGCTCAGATTAGAAAGGAACAAGACAGTCCTTACCTGCCATGGTGGTTATAGGGTGCTGAGGCCTTCATGTAAGTATCTGGTGGAGGCCCCACTGTAGCACTTGGTGGGGGGAAGAAGGCTGGATTGAGGTGAAGGGCAGGTGGGATGGCCCCAGGGGGAGGTACAGCCAGATGAGGAGGTAATCGAGGAGGAGGGGGCATGAGATGCTGGTAGTGGATGCCAGGAGGAGGAGGAGGGACCCCAAAGCTTGAGGAGAGAGGAGGTGGGGGTGGAATTGGGGGTGGGGGCAGACCCATCAGGGGGAGGGCTGAAGGAGGGCGATTGAAGTAGGGCAGCACACTGGGGGGCTTATCCACACGGGCAGATGAGGGTACAAGGTTCTCAGAGGGTGTGGCCCGTCCATCGGCAGAATCACTAGAATCCCGGGAATGGGCCCGTGGAGGTATTCCTGTGAAGCAAAACAGATCTAACGTTACTGCCCAGGCTTCACACGTACTCACGGGACCAGCTCATCCTTCAGCAAGAGTCCTCGGATACCATACTGAGAAAGGCGACAGGCAGCTGAGAAAGAAGGTAAAATTATCTACTCGTTTTTCTTTGGCCTCAGGAAAAAAGGCAAGTTAGTTAAGTCATAAACCCAGAAAGCATCATCACTTTAATTCTGTTATGTCAAAGAACCCTCTTTATCTAGAACTCGGTGCTTTACACTTAGTTTATCCTTAGACTTGTTTTCGATTTCTAAATGCAGGATCCTAACTAACCCATGAGAGAACAACACTGTTCAAGAATGTTTGTTACCGTTCAGTTGGATTCAAGCAGATGTGAAATCCCATGTGCCCGATTAAGAGTTCAGGGCCTCTCTCCCTTACCAGTGCTAGCTGACCTGAGACTACTATGCTAATATGTACTTCGAGTTTTCTCTTTGCCATGGCACTAGGGCCAGGGAATTTGGGAGAAGGGCAGGGGCTAGGTATCCACATATTAAAACTGGCCACTGGGATGGGGAACCACCATACACCACAGAAGACTTGGAGGTCAAGTTGAAAGGTAGGGAGAAAATGGGAGGTAAGCCAAGATACGACGTGCCCACAGAAGAGCAGGAGGCACAAAGCTTAGAGCAGGGACTCCTAGCAAAAGCTCAGTGAAAGACCAGCCTCATATCTGGGGCACTCCAGCTATATTTCAATGGCCTAAACGTTGTACCCCACGGGGCAGCCTGCCAGGGAACGTCACCATAGCACCTTGGTATGGTGTCGTGCACAACAGGGACTCAAACATGTTTGTATACAGCTGGGAATGTGGCTGTGCACTGTTAAGCCCCTTGGTTACACTTGTTCACACTCTGATTTAATAGTCTCCAAGCCTGGTTCGTGTGGAATCGAACAGAACGTGACCAAATGGCCTTAAAGGCCATGCTTGGAGGCAGAGGTGCCATTAGCAGTCAAAAGGGGGAAGACAGGAGAGTGCTCCTTAAACTGACACTTGCTGGTTCACACATGGGGGGGCAGGGTTCCGTCATCCAGCAACCCCCGAGCTTTCTTCGCTGGGGCGTATCGCCAGTGACTGAGCTTCTCGTGTCTCAAACATGGGGCAGCCGGTCTCTTCCCTGAGTTCTCTCAGACCAAAGATACAGGTGTTGGCAAGTGTGATCCTCAAAGGCAGCTATCTTCTCAGCTACCGTTCCCACCTCTACAAGGTTCTGTTTTGTATCGGTGGCTACAACCCCAAGAGCAGCAACTGTTTTTATGCAGGGGAAGGCCACTGGCTGCACTCAGTGAATGAACAGAGCCCGAGTCTGTCAACATGACAGAGCAGACTACCACCACTCAGTTACTACCATCATTTCCGCAAAGAATGGGAACACTGAGTAGACAGCCAAGTGGAGGTAGGGACGTCATCCCTAAGCAACTGTAAATTAGTGCATCTTAGGGATATCAGAAGAGGGCTGAATCACACAAAGATTCTGAAAGAGAGGAACTTGAAAATTGAAATTGTCAAGGAAGAAAAGTGTGTGCCTTTTAACCCAGAGCAATGGGAGCTCACACTACACCCATCTAGGCTCTCAAACTAGTAAAAAGAACAGTTTTTCCCATGCAAGAGAGAAGTGGCCAGATTTCCACCTTCAATCAGTCAATACAAGGCGCTAGAGCAGGACCTATGAAATGACAGAATGTAGGCGATGAGTCTGTCCCCCCAACCCGTCTGCCCCCGCTGTCAGGAAAGAAAAGTAAAGGCAGTTGGCTGCTTCAGGTGGGGCCTTGGGGGGTGGCTGCACCTTGTGAGGTCAGGACAATCCAAGGTCTGGTCCTCGGGTTTCGCAGGTTCAGACACTTGATTTTAATAGTATACCCAGGGGTGATTGTACCCTAGGAAACTGATTCACGCTAACCAAACTCACAAGAGACTGATTCATAAACCAGAATGCCAATTTATTAATTTACAATGAGAAATAGAACTGCCAAGCAGACTGGAATACTTGTGTCGGCTGGTCAGCGCATTCTCTTCCCAGTAGGAGAGCCTAGTTGGGAAACCAGATTAGTATCAGAAGGCGGCTTGGTGAGTACAGAATCAGAACAAAGGGAGTAAGGTGAACTTAAGGGACACTATCATCATGCTGAGGTAGTCTGATGCAGTTTTATCAGTGGGCAATATATGCCAAGCAGATGAAAATATCTGGTCACAGAAAGGGCACCCTCTCCCCTGCACAATGTTGGAGAAACACTGTGAAATTCTTATTCCCCAGCCCTCCTCTGGGCTGGATCCTCATAGAGCACCCTTCCAATACATGTTTATGATGAGACTATAGCCATCTTCATGTCCATTCCCTGCATATCAGGGTGGCCGCCGCTTGTTATCTTACAGAGGGCACGTGTTACGATGAAGCGCATATACTGATATTTTACACACAAACACGTAGCTGAGAGTTGGCAGGAACTTTAAACATCATGTATCTTCCCAGAGAAGGGAAGAGGCCCTAAGCAGGAAAGTGACTGGCCCAAGGTCACACAATGAGTCAGTGGCAGAACCAAACTATAACCTGAACCTACCTGACTCTCAGCAATGTTCTTTCTCGTACATGGCCTCACATCTGGGTCACTATTTGACCGTGCCATCACCCATAACCCCCACCCCCACTGTAGGCAGAGCCTACACCACAAAAAACAAACCCACAAACTCGCCCCCCGTCATACAGATGGTCTCCACGTACCCCCTCTTGGGACTCGGACGCACTCACGTTTCCGAGCCTGTGCTTCAAACTGTGACAGGTTCTGCCGGGTGGCCGGCCTCACGTCCACTTTTTCTCCATTAAGAACTTTTCCCGGCAGGAGTTCCAACAATTTGTGGACAGAGTTTTCAGAGGCTACTACCACCTCAGCGTACCTTGGGGAAGAAACGTTTAAAGTGAGTGAGATCTACTAGCCAAACAAGAGAGGAACAAAGAAATACCCTTCTGCGTTTAGTGAAAAGTGGTAAAGCAAAACACATCTTGCTAATACGACACAAACAAAACTACCGCCCATAAAAAGGTGTCACCCTTTAATCTTCCTATTTGGAATTAGAAATCAGCTTTCATCGCCCCTCAACAGATTGACATCGTTACACTGCAGCTAGGTCCCCATTCTATAGCAGTGTGCCCAAACCAAGGACATAACCCAGGCCAGGGGTAGGAAGGATTAAAACCCAGGGCCAAAATACAGTGTGGATCTGTTATCCTAATGGTGACAAACTCAAAGGGGCTTCTCAAATCCAGACCTCACCCTTTGGACTGGCCATTTGCTCGATTCTCTGCAAATTTCAACTCCACCACATCATAGACTCCTATAGAGCGAATAACCTGGATCAGCTGCTGGTCTGTAGTCCACTGGGGCCGGCAAGATGGAAAAGGAAGAAATGTCAAGAGCTACACCCCCGCCCCACCTAGAACGTCCCGAACCCTTTCACCAAACCTAGGCTTCTAGTCACAACCATGACCTCCCAAAGAAACCCTAAAGCCCGTCAACATTTCAATTAGTGTTAGGCTTTTCTTATTATGCTCACCCATACAGAATCCCACAATTTCCCATCCCCTCTCCAACCCCCATCTCGAGATTAACAAGAGTCAAACCTATTTTAACTTGGACTGCCATTCGGGTTGGCTGGTCATCAGTTCAAACACTGATTATCAGCAGCTTTAATTACAGACCTGACAGGCTACGGTCTGACCCGCGTCAGGAACTTCCCCCGAGTATGTTCATTTTCTAATTCGGGCTTGCCCTCCACCAGCCCCAAAACATGTCACACAAGAACTCTTGCAGAACAACAATCACCGCCTACCCCGGAACACTAGAACTATCAAGGTCTTTGATCCCTGTCACCCATCGTTATCAAAGGACCATCGAATGACCACCAAGAGTTCAAGGTGTTCACTCTGAAATCTCATCCCACAGATGACCCTATTGGACATAAAGCCCCAGGGTCAGGGGCATTAACAAGATGGCAGAAAAAGCAACTACCCACTTAATCATTGCTTTCTTCGGCACCAGTACGTCCTCAGGATAGTTCTCTTTCAGAGATCAATCCAACCTGATCCCAGGAAAAAGAAATCCAACCCCATCAGAGCACAAAACAGTGCAACAGTGGTTTCTGAAAATGCCATCACCTCCCAGTGCTCTCCCTCCAGCCTACCCATGAGCCTTCTCGGTTCCCCATGCTCACCCAGGAGAAGCTGCCCACATAGACAGCAGCTCGCCTATTACGCAGGCCGCTGTACGTGTACAGGATCGCAGGGCTCTTGTTATTGGGCTTGGGGGACGGCTCCTGGCGAACAGGAGGAGGTGGCTCAGTGCTGCTGCTTCTGTCATCTGAGGGCTGTGAGGTGGCTGTCAACACGTCATCATACAGGTCAATCTGATCTGTATTGTTGAACTCTGGGTCCTAAGAGATGAGGGGTTGGTAAAGGTGGGTTTGCAGACCTTCCACTGGGTTCATTCTAGGTCAGAATCCATAGTCAAATACTTCATAAAATACGCATAAAAAAACTTCCTTGTCCCACTCTAGGAAACTAGGTAGGAATAATTTTCTTATAAGAGTAATATCTCGCTTATAACCATTTCGTTAAATTATGCGTCTGTAGGTTTTTCTTCTAAGACCCTGTGAGTAGCCTGCGATGCTTCCAGCGTCAGCAAGCTGTGAGAGTCAAAAGGTACATGATGATTAAACAAGCAAACTAAGAATGCATGAAGATGCACCCGCTACTGGTATCAATGAGGTCAGCCTCTAATACCACATCTAAGTCACAGGACCGAAAACGTGTTTTCAACATTTCATGATACTCCCAGAATCAAGAGTTACACAAAGCTTACTACTCTATTTAATAAGAAAGTATATTCATTTAGAAATAAAAAGCAAGGAAAAAGCATATTAAAGTGAAAACTAGAATGCAAAAAAGGACTGGAATTACTGGTTTCAACTTTTCCACTTACACAAATGATTTCGAGAAGCTCTGAAACTCACAGTATGCACTCCCGTCTTTCTACTAACCACCAAAGAAACATTAAAAAAAAAAAAAAAAAGGAAAAGAATAATTCTGGGAGATTCTCCCTTACTATTTCTCAAATGACAACGCAGATCCAACACATTACCATGACACCTATATGACAGACTTTTGGGGAGGAACACCAGACATGTTCAATGATTCACAAAAGCAGTGAAGTTTGTTCTCTAAAATATAAGGGTAGAAAACAGGACAAGCACCCATACCATGAACTGTCACAGTTGGCACCTGAATGTGGACACGTACTCTGAAAGACACGTGAAGTATACTTTGTGTGTATGTGATACACTGCTGCCATGGACTGACGGTTTGTGTGCCCCCCCAGAATGCGTATGTTGAAACCCCACTCCCCAGCGTGATGGTATCAGGAGGCGGGGTCTTTGGGAGATAATTAAAATTAAATGAGGTTTTGAGGTGGAACCCTCATGACAAGGATTACTGTCCATATAACAGCCAAGAGAGCGCATGCCTGCCCTGCCCAGTGTCCCTTGAGGAGACAAGGTGGCACTCAGCACCTAGAAGAGGGCCCTCACCAGAACCTAAAATTTCAGCCTTCCAGTCTCCAGAACAGTGAGATATAAATTTCTGTTGTTTATAAGCCACTCAGGTTTTGGTATTTTGTTATAGCAGCCCAAGTTAACCGTATATACCCCCAATCCTAAAACCGTAAGAACTACTACTGAGTGACCGTAATGTTTCAGATTCTGCAATGTTATCTCAGAGAGCTCAGTTTCAGGATCGGTATTTTTTCGGGTAACATTCAAAAACATCCTGACCGTGCTAAAGATGCTGCCAAAATGACAGAAGTTCAAAGTGTTTTAGAGGAACTATAGCTCATCATGTCATTGCTGTGTTTTTAAAAATGAAATAAAGGAAGAACCTATGTTAGGTAACTTGTCTAGTTCTCTGAAGAAAGAGAGCACTTCCTATAATGCAAGTCGGGACAGGAAGCTCCAGTAATTTTCTCCCTTAAATTCCATCACAGGAACTGCAGATTCTAAAATGAGGCTAGAGAGGAGACTCGCTACCAAATTCATTCCTAGACCTACATACCATCATGAACTTCTGGAAATAATTTTCTAGTTCCTCACTCATCTGAAGAATAAGGGAAGAATGTGCACACAAAAACAGCTTTATTGGACTGTTCTGGTAGTGAAGGGGGAAAGGGTTCTACTCCCTGAGGCACGTACATAATTCCAAGTATTACAAATACTCTAAAAAAACCACACAATAGGATTGTATAAACTTGTAAAAATATCAGAAAAAGGATGGCAAAAGAGAGTATATTTTTATTTTTTTAAAGTTGACTTAATCATTTTGAGAGAAAGAGAACACGTGTTGAGCAGGAGAGAGGCAGAGAGAATCAAGCAGGCTCTGTGCTGTCAGCGTGGAGCCCGACGTGGAACTTAATCTCACGAACTGTGAGACCATGACCTGAGCTGAAACTAAGAGTTGGATGCTTAACTGGGGCACCCCAAAAGCAACCTTTTTAGAGGCAACTTATAAAACAAGGAATCAATGAGACAAATAAGCATAAAAAACTGTTCCAGGTAGTCAATTTATAAATAAATAAGGATCTTCCATCAAGAGAATGTAAAGAACAGGAAGAGAAGCTAACATTGGAGCGCACAGGGTGGATAATAAATTGAGTAAAGGGCTAAAAACTTGCAAACACAATGTGTGTAAAATATCTCACAGCTATTATGTCTCAAAGAACTGCAACTCTAGACAAAATCATTTATTTCCTCATTCATGTACTAAATATGGTGATATATGCCCTTATGGTTCCCAGGAAGATAGAAACTGTTTGAATTCTAATCCTTAGGGAGCAATACTTCACATCAGGGCGCTTTTAAAATTCATTTGTTTATTTATTGAATCTTGGTTCATTTTTGAGAGAGAGAGGGAGAGAGAGAGAATGAGCAGGGGAGGAGCACAGAGAGAGGGGGAAGGAGGATGTGAAGCAGGCTCCACGCTCACAGCAGACAGCCTGATACGGGACCCCAACTCACGAACCATGAGATCATGACCTGAGCCACAGCTGGGAGCTTAATGGACTGAGCCACCCAGGCACCCCACTTTTTAAATTTCAATCAAGGAGTCTGAACTGGAACTTAAAGGGAATAAGGAAACACACCATCTTGGATACTCAGTGGAACCAAATTGGGACTCCTTCCAGCAGGATCTGTGATTCAGAGATGTGTATCTAAAAGTTGTAAAACAAAAACTACCATGGATAATTGGGTAGTGAACTAGCACGCAGATTTGGGACAGCTCAGAGACCACACACATGACAGGAAACTTCCCATACTGCAAGCCTAGAGAGCAAGACTCTCTCTAAGGGTCTTTCAGGGACCCTTAGAGAACACACTAAGTCCTGAAAAACCTGGTATATGGATTACCTTGCCACTTTAAGAAGCACAAAAGGATTCAATGAATCCAAAACTGTCACATGGGGCACCTCGGTGGATCAGTCGGTTAAGCGTCCGACTTCCGCTCGGGTCATGATCTCGCGGTTCGTTGTGGGTTCGAGCCCCGCGTCAGGCTCTGTGCTGACAGCTCAGAGCCTGAAGCCTGTTTCAGATTCTGTGTCTCCTGTCTCTCTGACCCTCCCCTGTTCATGCTGCCTCTCTCCATCTCAGAAATAAATTAAAACAAAACAAAACAAAACAAAACAAAACAAAACAAAACAAGATTCAAATGGTTTCTCTGGGCTATAGAACCTGGGAACTGTTCTGATGCACAGAGCAGGCCTGTTGAGGGGTCTGTTGAAACAATGTATCAAGTTGTGTCTGAATTTAAACCTCTAGCAACACCAACACATTTTAAGCTCAGCTGGTAAGAGAAAAACAGAAAAAGCCTTGAAGTTTTTCTGATTACCAAATGAGCTGATGATTTACTCAGTGTTGAATTAGGTTAAAGCACAATCTAATTCTACAAATTAAGTGAAAAATACAATGTTTTCTGTGCACTGATGCCAAAGGTTTAGTTCCAGGGAGATTAAAAAGTGTGTATTTAAAACTGATTATATCAGGAAGAATTTTGTGTTTAACAGTATAGGAAGAGCCATGGTGGTTTCAGTAAGTTCTTTAAAGAACAACCTGCATGATTCTGAATTTAAATAAGAACTTCTCCATCAGTACGTTCAATGTTTCTACCCTCCAACCCCCTTCTCCTGATATCTGAGGGAAGTAAAAAAGGTTAGGATTTATTTTTCTCAAAGCAACCTACTCAGTATCATCGTAACCAAAGCTCAAAGCTTTTGGCTTTATAAAGACTGGTCTCCAGTCCTCACCCCATGCCTGCTCCCCTGCCACTATCCACTGCCCTGACCTCCAGGAATGGAACGTCTCCTGAACACAGGGATCCATTCCCCCCCACCCCCATTCCCTCACTGGTCCTGACACAGGGCCTCGTAAACAAAAATTGCTCAATAAATATTTGATGGAAGTAGCAAAGAGAACAGCGTACTAGGCACAGCACCTTGCTTGGCACAAGGAGCAGAGAGAAACCCTCAGCAAAACGGCAGCTCTCGCTTTTTCAGAGTACCTCCCCAGCCCAAGGGGGGGCAGCTGTGAATTTCCAGACTCTCAACATGACAGGAGTAAAGCAGTTGGGCAAAAGGGGCTTCCAGAGCACGTGCTGAAGATCAGGGGACTAGAGTACATGTGACAGGGTTCTTGTGCATGGTCAGCTCGGGAGGAATCCTTAATGTTCTGAAGACATTCTAAAACCCAGTCTGTACTGGCTGCCTTCAGTCTAACCTTGCGCTTTACAATGCTTGCCAAACGAAACCTTAATCATTTCTTCAGCAGCCTCCAAATTACACTAAGATCAGCTTTACCAAAATTTAACTCACGAGAGAAGCACCCCTCCGTGGACCTTCCATAAATGGACAGGATATTCAAAATCTATACTTTCTTCCAACCTGCCAAGCACTAATGACTATCTATTTGATATATAAATGCCTACTAAATTCCACACACGATCTTTGGCCTTACACCCATAAACAAGTCTTTTTTTTACTAAAGAGACAGGAGAACAAACCGTTGAGGTCAATGACTTCTACCCGGACACGGCAGCCACCACCGGATAAGGTCTGGGCCTCATCTATGCCCTGTAAGGTACACTGCTTAGGAAATCCTGAAATTCTGTTTTCTGAGACCGAATGTGACTAGACCTGTCCTGTTTTGCCCATTTCTCAAAGTGATTTGGCAGCAATGGTATCAACCCACAGAGAAGGAAATTAAGGGGGGAGGAAGAGTTATTATTAACAATAACTATCCTTCCTATCTTGTATTAAAAAAAGAACACAAAAATGAAAATCACCCATAATTTGTAGAGAGTAGTAAAAACCAGATGCAAAATAATATGGAAAACAATGGTTGTAACTAAACGAATTTACTGAACCTTTCAATTCATCCATAATTGACTTGAGCTTAAAAATTTTTTTTCATGTATTTAGGTCAACATGTAGATGATTCCAGTTTACCTGAGGAGATGTGGGCAAATATCAGAAAGTATATCTGACATAGCTGTACGATGGGTACAAGATCATTATACTATTCTCTCTACTTTTGTATTTTAACGTCTCTATGTTAAAATGCCAATGTGTTAATTTTTTTTTTAAACGTGAACGTTTGCCAAATGTACAGGACATCTTCTGTCACCTCATATAAAAGTCAGGATCTAACCGGGGCACTCTCCTTCCCTAGTCTCTTCTTTTTATCCTCTTTCCGGATTCTCGTGTGTACCCACTGAAAGACACCAATGAAAGAACCAGTTTCCTCAAGTACCATGGCGCTGAAAACAACCCAGGCAAGATATTACTAAGTATTAAAATGAGACTTGAGAGGTGCCTGGGTGGCTCAGTCGGGTTGGATGACCCGACTCTTGATTTTGGCTCAGGTCATGATCTCACCGTCATGGGACTGAGCCTCACTTCAGGCTCTGCACTGAGTGTGGAGCCTGCTTAAGGTTCTCTCTCTTTCTCCCTCTGCCCCTCTCCCCCAATAGCACACACACTAAATAAACAAATGAATACATGTTTGGTAGAACTTATCAAAAAAAAATAGAATAAAGAGACTTTGGAACATTCTTGGGCTTGACCTCCATATAGTCCTGCTTCCTGGGAAATCACTGTGTAATGTTCCTTGACATGACATAAATAGATCAATAAATCCACAGGTCTTTTTAACTGATTTGTCCAATACCTTTACCTCTGCCCTCAAAACAATTAGCTGCATCAATAAATTAAAATGTATTACAGTGAAATGTCTAGGCGCTGCTGAAGGCCAGAGTCAAACCACCTACAGAAAGAAGTAAAAGCCAGAACAGTCAGGACGGAGCTGCCACTAAATGTTAAAGTATCTTTCATTCGGTGCTTGTGCACTGAGGAGGGGACTCTATTTCCCCAGCTGCCACTTGAAAGAATCACAAAGGAACGGGTATGGACACTGTCTTCATGAATGCTACAGCGAACATAATTCTGATTTTTCAGCGCGCTCAGTCTCCGAGGAGACGGGTACCCAACTCTGGCCTCCTGGGGGAGCAAGTTCCACAGGTTGATTCGCCATTGTATTAAACCCGATTTTTATTTGCTCTTAAACCAAAGCCTGCAAAATTAAGCCTGGAGGCTTACAATTCACATAAGGCGGAACGGCCTTTCGAGATCCTGAAAGTCTACCACAGAGGAAAAATCTGAGACCCGACGGAGGGCTCTTCGGGCCTGGCAAAGACTGCCATAGTCTGGGACCACTGCAAGTTCGGTGAAAGTGATTCCTCAGCAGGTCCCGGACAAGCCAAGCTCCCGATGACCCCTCACCTGATTGAACTCCTCGTCTGCGTATATATCAATCAAGTCCACTCCTTCGGACATGGCTCCGGAAGGAAGATCGCGAGGCCGGAGAACCGACAAAGTAAGTAAGATGCCGCTGCGGTAGCCTGCAAGACGCAAGAGGTAGAAGGCATGAGGGTCCCGGGCCGGAAGGAGAGCAATGGTTGCCAACCTCCCGTCTCCAGAGACGCAGCATCCCGGCAGCCCAAGCTCGGTCCCACCCGCTCCGCCCCGCCCCCGGCCTCGCGCCGCCCCTCACTCTCCCAGGCCGCCGGGGCTCGCGGGGCTCGCTGCCCATCACCCTCGGGCCCGACCCGAGTTGCGGCGCAGCTGCCCGCGGCGAGACGGGAAAGTCCAGGCCTGTGCTCCTACGGGCCCTGGGACGGCGCTGCGAAGAACGACCGCGGCGAAGCCCGCAGCCCCGGCCCGCCGCGCCCGCCTAGGCCCCGCCGCGGCCCCGGCTCGAGTCCCTGCGGGTCGCGGAGCTCCGGCCGCCTCCGCTCCCCACCCAGGCCCAGTCCTCGCCCCCGGGCTAGGCCCGCCCCGCTCCCTCCCCACAGACTCGGCCCGGCGCCCTCGGCCTCCTCCCTCAAAGGCCCGCGCCTCCCTCCGCCCGCCGACTCCGGCGGCCCCAAACTCAACCGACCCCCTCCCAGTTTCAGCGCCGGCCCCGAGCCCTCTTCCGGCCCAGCCGGCCCCCGGCCGCGCGCCCCCGTTACCGGGAATATGGCGGCGGCGGCGGCGAGTCCGGACTAGGCCCGAAGCGCGCGAACCGCTCTCGGTCCCAGGTCCCGCCCCCCCCCCGCCGCTGGCGTCACACGCACAGCCACTTCCGCCGTACGCAGGGACTCATCTTCCGGCTCAGGGCCTCGGAGCTGAGGCCCACGGTGGAGGCATCCGGAAGCTCCCGGAAGTGGCCTGGCCACAGGCGTCCGGTGCGGGTCGGGAAGGATGGCGGTGGCCACCATGTTCCCGGGGCTGGCACGGGTGAGGAGAGTGGAGGTTTTAGGGTCCCGGACAGGCCTTAGTGGGGACTGAGCTTCGTCTGCCAACGCAGTCGTGGAGACTGCGAGGAGCCTCCGGCTGCCTGATAACCCAGGGCAAGGGCAGACCCAAGGAGAGATCCGTCTTGCAACATAAGGGGTTCAGGTCACATCCACTCTTTTCGGAGCCCACTGTGTGGCTGTCTCGTGCGACACCCAATTCAGATTTCACCTGTTCCCCAGGTGGAGCTGCCTGCACCGCCTCTGTGCGCCGCTTCTCTCTGTTCTTAAGACTCTGTTCTTGTGTCTTTAATATCTGTTAGGATTTCACATCGTAATTTTTTTTCAATGTAGGCTTTTCTGACCGTAAACTTCTACTTTTTTATTGCATCTCATAATTTTTCGTATGTTGGGTTTTCGTTTGTCTCAAGATATATTCGAATTCCCCTTTTGATTTTTTCTTGGACCCGTTAGAACGATTGGTTTATTCATGACCTGAAGTGTGTTAATTTTAACAAATTTGTGAACTTTTCAGTCTTCCTTCTGCTGTGGATCTCTAGTTTTAGTTCATTGTGGTCAGAAAAGATACTTTGTATCATTTTAATCTTTTTTAATTTGATAAAACTTGTTTTGCAACCCATCGTGATCTATCTTGGAGAATATTCTCAGTGTGCTTGCGAAGAATGTGTTCTGCTGAAATGTTCTGTATATGTCTGTTTTGTTCCACTTGATCTATAGTGTTGTTCAGATCTTCTGTTTACTTATTGATCTTCTGTCTAGATGTTCTGTCCATTACTGAATGTGGAGTACTGAAGTCTATTTTTATTGTGTTGCTGTTTATTTCTTTATTTGTGTCAGTGTTTCCTTCACGTATTTGGGTGCTCTGATGTTGGCTGCGTGTATATTTATGATTGTTATGTATTCCTGGTGCATTGACCCTTTTATCATTATAAAATGTCCCTTAACTCTCATGACAGTTTTTGATGTAAAGCCTGTTTTGACTGACATAAATAGTGCCATCTTTGCTCTTTGGTTACCTTTTGCACCGGTTATCTTTTTTTCATCCTTTGACTTTCAGCCTGTGTATTCTTACATCTAAAAGGAGTCAGTTGTGGGGCACCTGGGTGACTCAGTTGGTTAAGCATCCGACTTTGGCTCAGGTCATGATCTCACGGTTTGTGGGTTCAAGCCCTGCATTGGGCTCTGTGCTGACTGCTAGCTCAGAGCCTGGAGCCTGCTTTAGATTCTGTGTCTCCCTCTCTCACTTACCCTCCCCTGCGCATGCTGTCTCTCTCTCAGAAATAAATAAAACATTAAAAAAAATTTTAAAAAAGGAGTCAGTTGTAACAGTGTATGCTCCGACTCTGTTTTTTAATCCATCTAGCCACTCTAGTGTTTTGTTTGGAGAGTTTAGTTCATTTACGTATAATTACTGATCAAGAAAAACTTACTGTTGCCATTTTGTTGTTTTCTATTTGTCTTGTAGCTTTTGAGTCGCTTTTTTTCTCCCTTGTTATCCTTTGTGACTCATTGTTTTGTTTTGTTTGTAGAGACCCACTTCAATCCTTTCCTCATTTTCTAATTGTATCTTCTGTGGATATTTTCTTCTTGATTACTATGGCTTCCATAAAATGTAGTAATCCATTTTAAGATGATAACAATTTAACTTCACTCTCATCCCAAAAAACTACTCTTTTACTCCTCCAGCTTTACATTATCGATGTTGCGATTGCGTATTTGTATATCGTGTATCCATTAGCATATTTTAATTATTTTTTAATGTTTTTCTCTTTTATCTTCTCTACCAGCATTAAAAGTGGTTTACGTACCACTGTTACAGTATTACGGTATTCTGTATTTGTCATATGTGTATCTTTAATGATGATCTTTATGCTTTCGTATGCTTTTGTGTTGCTCTTGATTGTCCTTTGGGCCTCTTGAATTTAGACGTCCAAACTTCCCCAAATTTGGAAAGTTTCTGGCCATTTCTTTGTGTTAATTTTTTTTTTAAGTAAGCTGTACACCCAGTGGGTGGGTCGAACTCACAACCCCAAGATCAATAGTCACATGCTCCACTTACCGAGCCAGCCAGCCAGCCACCCCTGGCCATTTCTTTAAATGAGCTTTCTGTTCCTTTATATTTTCTCCTTCTGGTACCCCATAATAGTTTTGTTGGTTTGCTTGGTGATGTCCCATAAATCCCTTAGGAATATTTCACTCCTTTTCATTCTTTTTTTTTTTTTTTTCTTTCTTTCTCTGATTGGGAAATTTCAAATCACCTGTCTTTGAGTTCACTGATTAATTCTTCTGCTCGATCAAGTCTGCTAGTTAACCCCTGAAGCAAATTGTTTTTATTTGGTTATTGTATTCTTTAGCTCTAAAATTTTTGTTTGGTTCCCTTTAATATTTCTCGCTGTTGATATTGTCATGCATTGCTTTCCAGAACAAATTGAACATCTTGATGACAGTTGTTTTGAATTCTTTGTCAGGTAATTCTTACGCCTCTATTTCTTTAGGGTTGGCTTCTAGAGATTTGTTTCTTTGATTGGGCCACGTATCCTGTTTCTTCGTGTCCCTTGCAAATTTATATTGGGTCTAGGCTTTTGAAAAAACAGCCCGCTCTCCTAGTCTTCTTCGACTGACTGTACAAGGAAAGACCTTCAGCAGTCAGCCTGACTAGAGATCCTGGGAGCTTCTCAAGCATTTGTGTGTGGATATCTCTTCTCTAGGTTTGTGCATATAAATTCTAAATTGGCAGGATTTGCTGACTTCTTGTTTCAGGAGCCTCTTACCTGGTTTCTGGATTTCTCATAAAAGGAATTGGTCCATGTATTGTTGTGGAGTGGCTGTCTCCATGGAAAGGGCGGGGGGGCTTCCTGTTCCACCGTCGTGCTGCCGTCACTACCTTCTCATTGCATCTTGGTAGGTTTTACCCATCTCTAGATTGGGAGCCTTCTGGGGATTAGGGACCATGCCATCACCGTATGCTCAGATTCTAACACAGGTAAGTGACTAAAATACATGCCACACCATAAGAATGTTAAGAGAATATGAAGGAAGGAGAAGATGCTTCTGCTGGAGAATTTCTGGAAGGGTACTTGTTAAGAACACGTGTGCAATTAGGGCTGGGTTCTACTGCCAACTGCAGTCACTATTCAGGTGACCTTGGTAAGTTATTTAACCTCTGCTAGCCTCAGCTTCCTAAGCTATAAAGTGGGGACGGTATCCACACAACTTCTTAGGGACTAAATGAGATTGAATAAGCTTCCCACCCAGGAAGTGTTGAGCGAATGACAGCGATGGTAGTCATTATAAAGATGTTTGTGCTTTATTTATTTCAGATGCTTGCTCTGTCAAGGCGCCACCTAGTGTCCCCCTCTCTCAGCACACCAGCATTCAGCCGTTTCTACAGAGGCGACAGCCCAACAGATTCCCAAAAAGACATGATTGAGATTCCTTTACCTCCGTGGCAGGAGCGAACTGATGAATCCATAGAAACCAAAAGAGCCCGGCTACTGTATGAGAGCAGGAAGAGGGGAATGTTGGAAAACTGTATCCTGCTTAGGTAGGGAAATATGGGTCTTGCTGTTACTTCTCTTTGGTACTGGAGACCGCCTTTTCAACTCCCTTCTCTCTCTTTCTCGTTTTTAGCCTCTTTGCTAAAGAATATCTGCACCGCATGACAGAGAGACAGCTGAACCTGTATGACCGCCTGATTAATGAGCCCAGCAATGACTGGGATATTTACTACTGGGCCACAGGTACTGGGCATGATAAGCGAGCAGCATGATGTGAAAAATAGGATGACTTATGCTGATTTGCGTCTGGAATCACATCCATTTTCATTCATTCATGCAATAGACACTCAACCCAAGTTTTTCGAAGTGTGCAAAATTGTTTTATTACTTAAAGTGCATTTGCAAGCAATAGAAACATGTCGAAGCAGAAAGGGAGTTTAGTGGCTTGGTGTGGAAAGCTCAGTGCATCAAAGGCAGGGTTCTAGAAAAACCAGGCTGAGAATGGTGTGGAACCAGACAGCTCTAGAAGTCTGCGTAGTAAGAGTTCTTCAGTGGTGTCATTCTGGTGCTGCCTTTGGGAAGAATAATTCACTCCATGTATAGTGAGGGTTAGTTTTGACTGTGAGTAAAAAAACAAAAAACAAAAATCCCAAACAGTAATAACATAAACAAGTGAGAACTATATTTCTGTGTCATAACAGAAGTGCAGAGGTAGGCATTCCGTTCAGAAATCATAAGGTCCAGGTTCCTCTGGATTGGCTGCTCCCTCATCCTCAGCGTGTACCATCTGCCTCAGGGTCGAAGGTGGTTGCTGAGGCTCTGTCTGTCCTGTCCATGTTTCAGCCAGGAGTAAACGTATAGAAGCGCACACCTGACTCTTTGTGGATCCTTCTCAGGAAATTATATACCATGCTTCCACCTATTTTCCATTAGCCACGGTTTAGTCACTATTTCTCATCATAATGAGAAAACAGTACAGTCCCTGTGTCCAGGTAACTTGGGGGTTCTGTTATCAAGGAAAAGTGGGAGAATGGATATTAGGGGACATCTTGTCCTCGGTTTTTGTGTTTCCAGTCCAAGTTTGAGTCACAAGATAGAAACCATCCTGTAGGTTCCATTAATTAAGTGTCATGGTACAGAGTCTAGAAGCTTAGGTAGCCATTGTAAAGCCCGCAAGGTGTAAACTATTTACATGCTGGCCTTTAGTGTTGCTGAGTGAAGTTCTGTCGTGTGAGTGTGCCACAGTTTGTCTATCTGTTGACCTACTGAGGGACATCATGGTGTCTCCAGTTTTAGGTGATTATGAATAAGCCACTATAAATGTTTGCATATAGCTTTTTGTGGGTATATATTTTAGTTTTTCTTGGATAAATGCCCAGGAGAAGGGTTAATGAGTCTTATTGTAAGTGTATGTTTATGACAGACTTTTTCTATAATGGGACAGGTAGTAAATATTGTAGGCTTTACAGACCATATAGTTTCTGGCATGATATTCACTTCCTGCTTTTGGATAATAAATAGGTAAACAATTGAGTGTGACTGTGATAGAATAAAATTGCATTGAGAGGCACAGATCCTTGAATTTCATCTCATTTTCACATGTCATGAAATATACTTCTGACTTTTTTCCTCAACCACTTAAAAGTCATTCTTTTTTCTTTTTAAATTTTTTTAACATTTATTCAATTTTGAGAGCGCACGCGAGCGACTGAGTGGGGGAGGGGCAGAGAGAGAGGGAGACAGAATCTGAAGCGGACTCCAGGCTCTGAGCTGTCAGCACAGAGGCCAACACGGGGCTCGAACCCACAAGCAGTGAGATCATGACCTGAGCTGAAGTTGGACGCTTAACCAACTGAGCCACCCAGGTGCCCCTTGAAAGTCATTCTTAGTTCACAGGCCACAGTTTGCTGACTCCTGTGTTGAGTGAAAGGGGCCATGATCAAAGACTGGCCATACATACCATGTGATACCATTTATATGATATTCTTGGAAAGACAAAACCGTAGGGGCAGAAAACAGACCAGCGATTTCCAGGGACTTGGTGTGAAGTTCCACATCCTTACAGGCACTTGGTATTACCAGGGTTTTGGTATTGTTTTTAGCCACTCTAAGGAACACGCAGTGGTATTAGCACAGCTCTAATAATTAAGGATGGTAAGACTCTATTTTTCAGTGCTTATTTGCCATTGCTCTATCTTTGGTGATACGTCTCTTCAAATCTTACCCCACCTTTGTGTTTTTTCTTTATTTGGCTTCTTTTCTTTTTTAACGTTTTATTTATTTCTGAGAGAGAAAGAGAGATAGCATGAGCAGGGGAGGGTCAGAGAGAGGGGGAGACACAGAATCCAAAGCAGGCTTCAGGCTCTGAGCTAGCTGCCTGTTACAGAGCCTGATTCAGCTTGAACCCATGAACTGTGAGATCATGACCTGAGCCAAAGTCAGAGGCTTAACCAACTGAGCCGCTCAGGCGCCCCTAATTGGGCTTATTTTCTAATTGAGTTTTGAGTGTTCTTTATGTCAGATTCAAGTCCTTTATCAGGTATGTGTCTTGCAAATTTCTTTCTACTTGTCCACGGCTTGTCTTTTTCTTTTCTTTAAAAAAATTTTTTTTTTAATTATCTATTTCTGAGAGAGAGTGAGAGAGACAGCGTGAGCAGGGGAAGGTCAGAGAGAGAGGGAGATACAGAATCTGAAACAAGCTCCAGGCTCTGAGCTGGCAGCACAGAGCCCGATGCGGGGCTCAAACCCTCGAACTGTGAGATCATGACCTGAGCCGAAGTTGGATGCTTAACCGACTGAGCCACCCAAGCACTCTGTCTTTTTATTTTCTTAACATTATCTTTCAAAGAGCAGGGTTTTTTTTTTTTTTAATGTTTGTTTGTATTTGAGTGAGAGAGGAGGGAGTCACAGAATCTGAGTTGTTAGCACAGAGCCTGACTTGGGACTCAAACTCGTGAACTGCGAGATCATGACCTGAGCTGAAGTTGGAGGCTTAACCCATGGAGCCCCCCAGGAGCGCCGCAAGAAGCAGTTTTTAATGTTGGTGATGTACGATGTTTCCTTCGGTGGTTTAGTGGATTGTGCTTTTGATACAGTGTCTGAGAACTCCGCCATATTCAAAGTCACAGATTTTCTCTGTTTTCTTCTAGGAATTTTATTGGTTTAGAATCACCTGTTCAATTTCTCTAAAACGAACAAACAAAAATCCTACTTGGATTTTGATTAGAGTTGTGTTAAATCAACGGATCAATTTGGGAAAATATTTTTAGCAATTTAGAATTGTCTAATCTATGAACATGCTGTCACTTATTTAGGTCTTTGACCTCTTTAAAAAATTTTTTTTTAATGTTTTTCACTTTTGGAGAAAGAGAGAGAGAGACAGAGCATGAATGAGGGAGGGGCAGAGAGAGAGGCACACAGAATCTGAAGCAGGCTCCAGGCTCTAAGCTGTCAGCACAGAGCCCGACGCGGGGCTCGAACCCGTGAACCATGAGATCATGACCCGAGCGGAAGTCGGATCTTTAACTGACTGAGCCCCCCAGGCGCCCTGGTCTTTGACTTCTTTAATCTGCATGTTCTCTATTGTTGCATAACAGATTACCCCAGAATTTACTGACTTAAACCCACCTTTATTATCTCAGCGTTGCTGTGGGTCTGGAATCCAGGCATGGCTTAGCTGGGTCCTGTGCTTTATTCCATCATGAGGTTACAGTCAAGGTGTCAGCCTCGGCTCGGGGCTTTCATCTGGAGGCTCTGCTGGGGGAGGAGCGGCTTCAAGTTCTCTCTGCTGTTGGCAGAGTGAAGTTCCTCCAGGCTCCCCACCTGCAGGCCGTTCCCTGCTGGCTGGTGCCTGGAAGCTGCCTTCTGTCCGTTGTCACCAGCGCCTCTCCCACTTGGCAGCTTGTGTCTTCGGAGCCTGCCAGCCGGGAAGGCGACAGAGGAGTCTGCTGGGAAGACGGAAGTCTCTGTTTTGTAACATAATCACAGAAATGACTTTCTGTTATCCTTGCTGAGTTCTGTTGGCTCGAATCAAATCATTAGGTGCAGCCCAGGGTGGGGGTGGGGCTCACACAAGGGCTTGATACCAGGAGGTGGACCTCAGCGAGGGCCATCCTAGAAGTCTGACTGCTACAGTCGTGTTGTGCAGTTTTCAGAGTATTTTGGACATGTTTTGCTGGATTTATACCTAAGTATTTCATGTATTTTGGTGCCGTTATAAATAGTACTTTGAAAGAAGTTCCCACTTTCCCATTGTTGGTGGAATGTAGGGTTTTTGTATCCTGTAACCTTGCTAAGCTCACTCAGAGCTAGAAGCTATTTTGTAGATTCTTTGGGATTTTCCATGTAGACAGCTGTGTCACCTGTGAACAGGGATGGTTTTCCTTCTTCTTTTCCAACCTGTATTGTATGCCTTTTGGATCTTTAATTTGCTTTATTGCACTGTCTGGGGTCTGGTATGACGCTGAGTAGCAGCAGTGAGAGCAGGCATCCTTGCTTTGTTCCCCCGTCAGGGGGGACGTGTTCAGTCTTTCATCATTAAGTGTAATGTTAGCTGGGGGCGCCTGGGTGGCTCAGTCAGTCAAGTGTCCGACTTAGGCTCAGGTCATAATCTCATTGCTCGTGAGTTTGAATCCCGCATCAAGCTCTCGGCCGTTAGCACAGAACCCGCTTCAGAACCTCTGTCCCGCCCTCACCCTGCCCTTCCCCTGCCTGTGTGTGTCTGTGTGCATGGGGGGGGCCCACACATGCTCTCAAAAGTAAACTTTTAAAAGATAATATAAATAAATAAATAAAATGTTAGCTTTAGGTTAGTTGTAAATGCCTTTTATCAGATTGAGAAAATTTTCTCCTGGTTTTAGCATATTGAGTGTTTTTTCATAGATAGATACTGAATTTTGTCAGGCACTTTCTAGGCATCTCTATAGAAATAATCATTTTTTGCTCATATGATTTTTTTTCCTTTAGTTTATTGATAATGATGAATTTTTTTAATAAAATTTTTTAATGTTTTATTTATTTCTAGGAGAGAGAGAGAGAGAGACAGCATGAGCAGGGGAGGGTCAGAGAGAGAGGGAGTCACAGACTGAAACAGGCTCCAGGCTCTGAGCTGGCAGTCAGCCCGACGCAGGGCTCGAACCCACGAACCGCGAGATCATGACTTAAGCGAAAGTCAGACGCTTAACCGACTAAGCCACCCAGGCGCCCCGATAATGATGAATTTTTGATTGCTTGATTTTTAGGTA